CCTCAGGCCTGCAGGCCTTCATGGCTGGCCCCTGGCTCCCTTTCCAACCTCAGAGGCCTCAGCCATTCCTTTCCCTCTGTTCAAGCACACCACGCTCTCTCTAGCCTCTAAATTTTTGCAAATGCCATTCCCTGTGCCGCAAACACTGTTCCCACTTGCTTGGTGCATAACCTTTCACCCTCAGGTCTCAGTTGACAAGTTTCTTCTCCAGAGAAGCGTTTGTCTCCCTGAACGAGAGTCCCGCCTGTGCAGCCCATTGCTCCCTGTCCCTTTCATTGTGCTCAATGATTCAATACTATTAATGTTTGTTTTCCTTGGTGTTTGCTTTTGAGCCCTAGGAGGGTAGGTGGACAGGGCGCACAATTGGTGCTCAATTAACTTCTGTAGACATGGATGGGTGGTGAGAGAGTTAGAGTAAGAGGACCCATCTGAGACCTACTGTGTGCCCTCAAACAGGTTCTTGTCCTCTCTGGACCCTAGGAGCCAGTGAGCCCAATGAAAAAGAAATATGTGGTTTTCCAGGGCGCTGCTGTTGTGGTGATCTTTGAAACATCTCTGTGTGCCAGAAGGACACAACCCAGTCCCTGTGGTCCTGGGGCACTGAAATGGAGACCAGCCAGGGGTTTGGAGTGAGGCCCAGTGAGTCGTGTCTTGAAACCCTCATTTCCTGGGATCCCTGAAAGCCTCAATGGCTGTAGTCTAGTTAAATAAGAGGAGTCCTAGGGATCCTGAGTGGATAGTAACCCAAGGTCCCCAAAAGTTCCTTTGCCCACTGTGGTGGCTACCAAATAAATGTCCAGAAGTTTTGGAAATTCCTACTCTGCCTCTCTGGCTCTCCATCTGCAAGCACAAGGACCTGGCTTCTCTGCTCCTATTGTACAGGGCAGAAGGATGCTGAGCTGGGGGCCAAGGGACCTGTGTTTCAGGGCCACCTTCTCTGTGAACCTTACGCAAGCCCCCTCCATTCTCTGGGCCTCAGTCACCATGCCTGTACAATGGACAACTCTCAGGTCCTCCTGGCCCTGGCAGCCAAGATGACTGTCGATGCCTGGGACATGTGTGCTGCTTCCCCACACCCCACCCCTGCCTGGGGAGCCGGGAGCTGCTCCGGGAGCGTGGGAGAGCCAGATGTGGTGGCCGCTGGCTCAGCCTGTGTGAGTGCTGAGCTGGCCCACTGGGAATGCTCCCCCTGGAGCTCCCTTTCCGGCCCCTGACCCCCATCCGACTGAGAGCCGCTGCTTCCGGCTCTGACAGGCGTGGGTGGGGTCTTAGGAGGGGGGTCTGCTCATCCTGGTTCCCTCCTTCAGGGAAGAGCATGCGTCCAGACAAAAGCCTGGCTGCAGCCCCAGCCTGTGGCTGACACTGCACGGCATGAAGCCTGGCACAGTCGCTTCCATCACTGACCTCGGCCATGTCGGCCCTAACGTGACATGAGCAGGCTGGACAGGCTTCCCTCAGGCACTGACCACGTGGGGACAGCACCTCCCCACACACCTGAGGATCAGCTGCCTTGGTGGAGCCCTCTCATTCTTGCTCTAGGGCTTGCACAAAACACCGTGCACACGGCTCCCTCAGGCCTGTCCACCCCTGCCAGGTGTGCACATGTGTCTGCTTGAACACTTGAAAGTACTGAGGCTCAGCGAATTCGGAGACTTGGTTGTTGCACAGCTAGAAGTTGGCAGAGCTGGGCTCAAACTGCCTACATCAGAGCTCAGGGTCTTAACCCTTGAGGGTGCCGCCATGCCAGGGGAAAGGAAGCGGAGTCCTAAGGCCCAGAGCCCCTCTGCATGATGTCTCAGTCACCCCAGCAGGACTCCCCACACTGAGTCCACACTCCCAGCTGAGTCCAACCTTTCCTGGGACAGGCGTGTCTGAGGCTGGACCTGGCTCCCGGTATCTGGGTAGTTGAGAGAGTGCTCACGGCCTATTCTGCTCCCAGTGGGGCTGGGGGCCCTGTTGACCTCCCCAGCATGATGTTACTATACTGCCCAGGTACCCTGTCCATTGCCCACCGTTTCAGAGCACTCAAGGGGACTCTGAGGCCCAGAGGCATGCTGCGATGGGAGGCTGCCTGCAGAAGGGAAGCTCCATGTTGCAGGGACCACACTTTGGACACTGCACTAGGCCTTCCAGGGACAGTACAAATCTTAAGAATTTCTTAAATGCTCTTAAGAATCTGTCCTTGGGCTGGGGCTGTAGCGCAGTGGCAGAGGGCTTGCTTAGCATGAGTGAGGCACTGGGTTCGATCCTCAGCACCACATAAAAATGAACAAATAAAATCTATTTGGGGGGATGTGGCTCAAGCGGTAGCGCACTCGCCTGGCATGCGTGCGGCCAGGGTTCGATCCTCAGCACCACATACCAACAAAGATGTTGTGTCCGCCGAGAACTAAAAAATAAAATATTAAAAATTCTCTCTCGCTCTCTCTCTCTCTCTCTCTCCTCTCTCACTCTCTTTGAAAAAAAAAATCTATTTGGTATTCTGTCCATCTACAACTACAAAAAAATTAAAGAAAAAAAAAAAAAGAATCTGTCCTTAAATTAACCCAGTTTTCCAGAGGAAGAAACAGAGGCTCAAGCATTTAAATGACTTGCACAAGGTCATACAGCTTGAACCTGGAGAAGCTGGGATTTGAACCCAGGCTTTTCTCTGGCTCCAGAAACTGCCCTCAGTCATGACATTTCTGTCTCAGCATCCCGGCCTTAGTGAGCACTCTGTGGTATTCTGTGGAGCTCTGCATCTCCCACCCACATCTCAGAGGAGAGGAGGAGGAACAGCCCTGGTGCCCACCAAGGGTTAATGGTGGTAGGGGCTAAGTGTTTCCAGATGGGCCAGTCGGATGGCTGGGCTGGCCGGAAACCRGCGGCAGCCAACTTCCCCAGGGAGCTACCATCAACCACCCCCTCCCCTCTGTGCTGCATCTCTGGCCCCCAGCTGTCCCCTGCCCTGGGGTCCACCAGCCTCTTCTTCCTAGCCAGAGTCTAACTCTAAGAGAGTTTGCAGACAGATCATCCCAAAGGCCTCCCATAATAGCAAGCCCTGCCTGTTATGGACAGATGGGGAAACCAAGGCTCAAGCAGAACAAGAGACCAAGGTCTTTCAACAAGGCCTTGCTCCAGAATAGCTTCCTTAGGAAATAAGGGGTGGAAACTCCTCTTTGCTTCCCCAAAGCTATCCTGGTTGCAGCAATTGGTCCAAGGGTTTGGAGGTAAGCAGACAAGGACGCTAGGAGGAGAGTTATACATTTCTTCTCTTTCTGCTCCTTCCTCCCTTCCCCACTCTTCTTTCCTTCCCCCTCCTCTGTTCTTCTCTTTCTTTTTGCAATCTAGGGAACTGAGCTCAGAGAATTGTAAATTTCCAATGCAATCTTTGGGCACAAGAATCCTGTGCAAGTCTGACCCTGTGGTCTGTGGGATCACCCCATGTTCCCCTCTGACCACCAAACCCTGGACCAGGTCCCCTTTCCTGGGTGACTCATTACCCTACCCATGGCCTGATCCAGTCTGAGAGCCCCTCTCCCATGTGGTCCAGCTCAGATGCTCTGCTGGGCAATTTCTACTGGGATAAAACCAAGAAGTGATTGCAAGATAAACTACTGTGGCTGGCATGGAATCTCAGCTCAAGGGAATCTCAGCTCTGCTCTGTGAACAGGGGCCTGGATGGGACTGGGGAGGAACAGGGGGCAGGCAGAAGTGCAGAGGGCAGAGAGGAAGGAGGGCAGAGCCAGGGTCTACGTGTGTGAATTGGGACTCCTTCTTTTCCCCTCTGGGACTCAGTTTCCCCATATGTACGTAATAGGGGCAGGAGGTGACTTAGCTCTATCCTTTAAGTCCCTTTAAGATGATGCTCTTGGCTGTGAGGCCTGGGAGTCTGCAACCAGAGACATCTAATCGGAGGAGGGGAGGGTATAAGAAAAGAACCAGCCGGGAGCCTGAGGTTTGGCAGCCCTGCGGGGGAAGGAGGGTAAGGATGGAAAAGGAGCATAACAGATACTCAGAATGTCTTGTTGAGTGACTGAAAGCAAGAGCCACAGGGTAACCCAGGAAGATGGCAGAGCTGGAGCRCCTGACTGTGCTGGGGTGTGGGTCTTAGGATGACCTGCATCCCTTCCACCCTGTGATGCACCAGGTCTGCTTCTTCTGTTGTTCTGTGAGCTCAGGAAGGTCTTGGGGTGTCTCTGGGCCTCAGTTTCCTTGCTATAAACAGGGCAAATAATCCCTTCCTGGTTCCAGGGTCTTTGAGATGCTGAAGGGAATATGCCTGAAGATCTGGGGAAACGTGATGACCTTGGGCAAGTTGTTCTCTCTGTGCCAGTTCTCTGGATTCTTCTAAAGAGTGACTGATCATCTTGGAGGGTGTTTCTACCTCTTCCAAGTCCCCTCTTCTCAGAAATGCACCTCAGTTAGCTGTCCCTCTGAGTGCACTCTCAGCCCCTGTCCTCTAGCTGGGTACTGCTTGCCTAGTGGCCTTGTCTTGCGCTGTATCCCCCCACCCAACACTGTTTAGCACACAGTGAGAGCTCAGTATGCTTGTTCAATGAATGAACGTCCCCTGAAGCAGCCATGTACAGCATCAGAGCTTCCTTTACAGATGGGGAAACTGAGGCACAGAGAAAGGGCACTCCCAGGTGCCCTTGCCATCGCAAGGGGAGGCTGCCACCAGAGGCAGGCACCAGGCAGTGAAGCTGGGCTACTCTTTAATAAAAGTGACTCAGTGGCTGGCGTGGGCTGCGGAATTTCTAAACATCCCCTCACATCCTGAGAGAGCAGGCGACGGGAGGGAGCAAGCAGAGGGAAAAGAGGAAGAAAAACAAGAAACTTGGGGAAAAAGAAAGAGGGAGAAAAAAAAAAAGCCTGAAATTGAAAACAGACGCACGCGTCCACCCTCCCGGCCCCACCGCCCCCCTTCTCCCAGCTGGGCCAATCAGAGRCGGCCCTGCAGCCTTTCCCCCAAAGTGGGGGGGCAGGGAAGCCCACAGTGGTGAGAACTCAGGGGGCTGCCCGCGGTGGCAGTCCCTGCCCACCTAGCTGGGACCCTAGATCGTTCTGTAAGCAACTTGGAGCCAGAGAGGAGGAGACCAACAGGGAGGAGAGAGCCAGGCCCCTCAGACCAGCCACCCRGCAGCAGCCTGTGCCCAGCGGACACCGCCGCCGGCCAGACTCAGGGCGGCCCCTCCTGGCAACTCTGCTCCTCCCTAAGGATGCTTTGGGAGTGAGGCGAGGCCGCCCGCTCCTCACCCGTGCAGCACCCCCTCCCGCTCTCCTGCGTCTCAGGGAGCTTGCAAGGCTCCTGCCTGCCCTTCAACCCAGCTGTTGCCCATCTCAGGTCCAGCAAAGTCTTTCTGATACCTGGGAGAGGGCAGTAAGGCGGACTTCCTGGAGGGGGTGACAGCCCACAGCCTGGGACCCTGCCCACAACAGAAGCCATGAGCAGAGAGGTAAGTGAGGGAGAGGGGAGAYCCCCAACCCCATGCCCTGTCCCCTTGTCCCAGCCAGTGCCTCTTTGGGTAGATAAAAAAGAATGGAAAATATTTTTAACAAAACCAGATGGGCAGAGGCTGGGTGGCTGCGGGCGATGTCAGGGCTAGAGGAGTCAGGTCTCTCCTCCCCACCCCGAGGCAGGCGATGCTGCCCCCTGCCCTCTTCAAGACAACAGCCCCCAGAGACTCTGGATGCCCAGCAGGGCCTCTGATGTCCATCACAGTCTATGGTGTGTGTGTGAGTGTGAGGGAACAGAGAGGGGCAGGGGTGGGGAATTGGGAGGTGGCACTCAGGATACCTAGAAAGAGACTTAGAAAGGTACGGGGACCTCAGGGACTAGTCTCTGTCCCTTGGCCCAAGCTTTGATCCTAAGAATTAGCCTGGCTCTAGGCCAGTCAGCCGCCAGGCAACCTTTGGGGATTTAAATGGATTTGCAAATTTTCCAGATTCCTAAGTCGTCCTTCTAAAGCCCCAGCCGCTGGGAAAGTTCTGAGTCTGAAGGGGCCTCAGCAACTGGCCTAGCGCAGGCCCAGCAGTCCTGACCCAGCTGTCAGATCTGGAGGCTCCTCTTTGAAGAAGGGCAGCCTCTCACTCTCTTCCTCCTTCTGGACTCTGCCCCTTCTCAGATCCATCATAAAACAGGGGTCGGACAGGCCACCTCCCTGCCCAGAGCCCATCTGTGGCTCTCCAATGCCTGTAGGAAGCCCCACCTCCTAACAGTGGCTGCTACTGATTGACACTTACTGCATGCCAGGCCTGTGCCCAGTACTCTGAGAATATCTCCTGTGATGCTCACCAGAGCAGGGACTGTATTTCCTCTGCTCTACACATGAGCAGCCACGCAGCAGCACACAACTGTAGCCACACAGCTAGTAAGTGGCAGACCCTGAGGAGACAGGAACCTTCTCCTACCCTGTTACTCCAATCAGGCTATCTATTGATTGATTGATTGATTGTTCTAGGGGTTGAACTTGGGGCTCGCACTCTACRACTGAGCTACCTTCCCAGTCATTTGTAATTTTTATTTGGATCTTGCTAAGTTGCCCAARCTGGCCTAGAACTTGAGATCCTCCCGCCTCAGCCTTCTGAGTAGCTGGGATGACAGGTGTGTGCCGCTACACCCAGCTCAGTCAGATCCCGGACCATTCAGAAGGAATTGGCACTAACCTGTCTGCGGGCATCTGCCCTCCTCCTCCTCCCCCAAGGCCCTGCTGCTCCACCTCTTCCCAGCAGCATTCCTGGTTCCTCCAGGGCCCTGCCCTGCACTTGGAGCTGGAGCCTGGTTGCTGTTTATATCCTGTTTGCACATCAGCTTTTTCAGACTCCAGGTTTGGCTGTCCTGTGTCCCTAGTAACCTTCTGGTCAGGCCTCCTGCCTTCCTTCCAGAGTTATCAGGTAGCTTCTCCAGATGGCATTTCTTTATCACAAGCAGGAAGGAGTGTCTCTGCCGGCCTCTGCCACCCCCAGAATTCACAGAGGGCTCTAACAAATGTTCTGAGGTCACACAGTCCTGCCCTATCTCCAGGCAGGAGACCCTAAAGCCACAAYAGCATTGGGGGACCTATCAACAGCACCCACCACAAAGCCTGTACCACACCTACCTTAGAATCCTCATAGCAAGGCTCTGAAATTGGTGGCTACTACACCCATTTTTTCAGATGAGAAAACTGAGGTTTAGAGAGGTTAAATGATTTTCCAGGTCATTCAGTGAGAAGAGTTGGTTTGTCTGAACCCAAAGGCTTAACCCCAGCRCAGTGCAGGGAGCCCCTGGTCAGCAGGTAGTCCTTCACGCTCCCCAGAGGCCGCCCCTGGCTTCAGCACCTGCCCCGGCTCAAAGTGCAGCCTCTGGTCTGACTGCTGCAAGGTCTGCCCAGTCCCTGGCTTGGTTCTGAGAGAAGAAGGAGGCATCTGGTCGGACAGCAGTTATCAGGCAGCCCTCCCTCCTCTGTGGGAGAAGAGCTGGGCTGGTAATTGCCCACAGATGTGGGCAGGCAGCAGCAAGCACTGTGCATTCCGAGTCAGGAGCCCGGGGCTCACCCTGGCTCAACTGACATCCTCGGAGTAGTCTGCCCCAAACCCCTGTGTCCCCTCTCTGGCTGCTTTCCTATCTGGGAGGTAGTGGACACTGCCAATGAATACCAATAAGCTTGGGCTCCAGATGATTGTGCCCTTACCTCATTTGGCTTCTGGCTGAATGGGTGACCATGGGCCAGTGCTTTGCCTCTTTGGGCCTCAGTTTCCTCCTCTGTGAGCAACAGGGAAGTTTGTGGGCTCCAGGTGGTCACAGCGTAGGTGAGGTGCTTCACCCAGTTCCTGCACTTTGTGGGRTGGTCCTGGGGCTGCTGACAAGAGAGGGCTGCTCTCTCCGCCTCCTGCACACGACTGCTTGGCTATGTTAAGGATGGTAGCCCACAATGACCCCTGCTCATAGAACAGACTGGACACCATGTACACTCTGAAGGCTTGCTTTGTCCTCTTGGTACCTTATGCAGTACCTGGGACCGCTTCAGGGCCATAGGAAGGGACTCTGGGTGTTTTGCTCAGGACAGGCTATGAAGTATGTTGGAGAGGGAGGGAGGAATGARGGGACCCCTAGACAGCCCTGAGTCCCCCTCCATTTCCTACAGATGCTTCAGAACCATGTGGGCAGTGGGTCTTTGGGATGAAGTTGTTTTTACAGTCCTCCCTATAAGGGGCGAGGGGAGGGAGGGTCAAGGGTCTCCATCTCTTCTAAGGGTCAGAGCTTTGACAGCTAGGGTGCAGTGTACGCAGGAGGAGCCAGCTACRTGCATTTTAATTGTGTTTGTGACCATTACCTCACAGGTCACCGCTGTGWTCCTCAGCACTTACTTAGAACATGCCTGGCAATTAGTAAGCTCATAATTAATATTTGCTGGACTAATTTGATTATTATAACGACCTCTGGGAGTCAATATAAACACTCTCCATTTTACTGATGAAGAAATGCCCAGAAAAGTTAAGTCAATTACCCAGAAACACACAGCTCAGAAGTGGAGGAGCAGGGATTTGCGTGTAAACATTTCTGACTCTAGAAACTTGTGACACGAGGCTGGGTGGGGCTCTGGACCSGGCATAGACTCTGAGGACCCGCCTTAGCTGTGGGGGCCCCCTCAGCATTCCACTGGGGGTCATCAACCCTGGAAGGCCATGTGACCTTGGGCAAGTCGGTCCCTCTCTGGGCCTCAGTCTTCTCATAAGTCAAACAAGGAGCATGACCCAGACCATCACCAAGCTCCCTCCCAGCCCCAGAACAATTCCAGGATTCTAAGCCACGCTGGCCCGGATCAGCAGCAGCACAAGCTCCGCAGTGTATGCGGAGATCATGCATATTTAACTTCAAAATGAAAGGGTTTTTTTTCCCCTTACCCTTTGTCTACACATTACAGAAAGAGGTCAGGATCAATGGCCACTAATGGAAAATCCTAACCTGCAATACGAGGAGGAACTTTCTAACAATTGCAGGGGCCCCTTAATGCATTTGGTTTCCCAGAGAGCTTGGAGGACATGTTCCTGCAGAGTCCACATGCTCGTTTCCCTGGGACACTAAGAGCCACAGAAGTCTGGGAGGTAGGCCTGTTAGAGGCTAGGTGGATGACCTTTAGGGTCAGTGGACTCCAGGAGGTGACAGCATGGGTGCGGTGCTCAGCCCAGCTCCTGCACTTGGTGGAGTGGTCCTGGGGCTACTGACAAACCCCATCGGCCCACATTTCAAGAGAAAGTAAGGCTTTAACCCAAATCGGTTATGGGCTCCAGAGGTGACAGAAGGAGTGGACACAGAGACCCAGCCCTGTTGGGAGTAGGTGTGGAACTGACACAATTTTTGCTTCCAGTGCACAAGTCCACTTCGTGTCCCTCTCTAGCCTTCAGGTTCAGAGCATCCAGAAAAGAATGTCCTGAACCCCCAACCCTCGCTCCAGTGCTCCACCCACTCAGGGGCTTTCTGGGGTACCCCGCCCCAGCCTGGTGCAGGACTTTGAAAATCAAAGTGTACTGCTTTCACTGCATTAATACCCTCGCTTCTCCTGCTTCCGATCAGGCTGTTTGATGTCTCAGGTGCCCGAACCTTTCATCTGCGGGAGGTACGAGCTCCTCCGCCCTATGATGGAGAGGGCTGTCCCTTGGGAAGGCCAGAGGGTCAGGAAGTTCCTGAATGTCAAAGAGATGAAAAGGACTTTTGGGGTCACGTGGTTTGACTTCCCTGGGTCCAGGAAGGAGAAGGGATGCGCTACAGGCCGTGTAGGCCGAGGATGATGGCCAAGCCTGGGTCCTATCTTCCCTTTGCTGTATCGTCACCACCCCCTAAAGACCTAATATGTCGTCCAGTGCTCAGCTTCTGGTCTCCCTGGGGGAAGTTAAGGGATCGATTTGGACTGAAGGGAAGTAAAGCCATCTTGACGAAGGTTGGGAACCCCCGTGGGGTAGTTTTCTGGGCCAGGAACCGTTGGTCACATCACTTCTCCATTCTGGCCAGGGTTTCCTCTTAAAGAGGAGGGAGGGCAAGGGAGAAGTGCAAGGGCTCCAGGGGTCCAGCCAACTTTGCCTTCAGCTCCCAAGAGTCCCTTCCAGACTCTCAGGGCTGCTTTACCACACTCTGTTGCTTACTTCTCTTTCCTGGAAAGTGAACCCTCAAGAGCTGTGATCCCACCTGCGTCTGAGCCTAAGTGGACATGGAGGGGCAGAGAATTCCAGTCCTCCCTGGAGGGACAGGGCTCTCTATAAACACGTCACAGGAGCCTGGCCTCTCTTAACCCAGGGCACTGGACTTGAGGTAAAGGATTAGCCTTGACCCCATGGACTGTGGGCGACTCCATCTGGCCTGTACTGGGTTCCTTATCAACTGCCAGCCCGAGATCCATCTGCTGAATGCATAGTGCAGCCGTGGGTAGAGAAGGAGAGGCACTGGGAGATGGCTGGATGGAGGGATGGACAGACGGAC